AATAAAAACAATATTCTACTTTATTGTTGAATTATTCGTTTCCGGTCCTTTTCCATTCTTTTCCATTTCTAAATAATTTATTTAATAATTACGAAAATGTAGAAGAGGAGAAGGAAAGAGAAGAAGAATGATGGTAAAAGTAAAAAAAAGTTATTTATACCAATTTATGTATTTATTTCCCCTCTCCCATTCCTTCCTTCACAATGATGCGAGCTAAATCCTCTCACGAATATTTGAAATATGTCATGTTAGTGGTTATATATTGGACACAGATTGCATGATATTATTTGATAGACGAGATGTTTACAGTTTGAACAAAATACACCGTCAATCACGTCATGTCTTTCGATAATGTGTTCTCGTACTACAAATATTTCTGTCACTGTATCGCGTGCGCCGTCAAAAAACACAGAACTGATGTGTGCAGAACTGTAGATGGTCTCCAGTATTATATGAAAAATTAATACAACACACTTTTGTTTGACCATTCAAAGTTTTAATTTCTGAAATTTTCAATTTCTTCACACTTTCACTCACTAATTGATTGCTACTGTCACTATCATAATTACTATCGTCTATGAGTATATGGTTGATGTCTTCTTCGTCTTCTACTTCTTCGTCTTCTACTTCATCATCTTCTATTTCTTCATGCTCCATGTCTTCACAATCCATATCGAAAGAGCTTCAACTAGGAAATATATTACATACAAACTAAATCTGTGTCTTCCTTTCACTCCCTTCCTGTTTTACGCTTTTCCCGTTTAATCTTTGAAAATATCTACGTAAGTATAAATGATGACAACACAATTTGAGAAGCTTCACTGTGAGTTTACCAACAAAAGTCTACGATGATCTAAGCGGGTAGGACCATTGCATGGTAAACAACATAAACATTTGATAGCAGTTACTGAAAATCTGTAGACGAGGACTATGTCCCTCTTACTCTGTCCGTTATTATAATACACAGTTTGAGAAGCTTTACTGCGCGCTCCCTAACAAGAGTTTACGGTGGTCTAAGTGAAAGCTGGAGACTAAGTGCCCTTTTCGGCCGGATTTCAAGCGGTGACACCCACCGTTCTCCTTCCACCGCTCCGCGCTCAGCGGCCGAGGCGACGACCGCGGATCGTTCAGGCCCGTCGCTACGTAAGATGTCAGCTGGAGCGTACCCTCGTGTTTTATTATAATTATAATTTTTTCCTCCTTTAATAATCGCTTTAAAATATATATGTTTATGTGTTTTATACACACATACATACATACATATATATATATATATATATATATATATATATATATACAGGGTCATTGAAAAGTATTGAACCCCCCTAATATCTTCAGTTAAAATGCATTTTGGAGAAAATGTCCAATAGCAAAGTTATATGGTTTCAAACGGGGAGTAAGATGATGACCTCGACTTTGACCTTGACCATGTATTTCAAGATCATTTCAAGGTCAACCTTATTTTCTTCAATAGAACCCCCAATATTTTATTGCATATTCTTATAGCTTATCTCAAGAGCTTTCCAAAACACTATAATTAAACAATTTTTCATTAAGTACTTTTTGAGTTATAAAGGTTTGAAATTAACAACTTTTTGACACAAAATGTAAAATATCTTGTAAAATATTATTTAGTTTTCACTAATCATAATCTTAATACTTTTGTGCGCGAAATAATGATACCAATTAATTGGTTTAAAGAAAATACATTAATCAAAAAGTATCGGCTCCCCCTAATATTTTCAGCAAGAATGCATTTTAGAAAAATGTCCAATAGCAAAGTTGTACGGGTTCAAGCGGTTATGCTAGTAGGCTATGGCGGAAAACTGCCCGAAGATGATCGCAAGAAGCTGCTCGATGTTCGAAGGCGTTAGCGGGAATCTGCCCGAAAGCGTTGGCGGGGCAGATCTTTATTGTCTCACTCTCGCAGGCACCAATAATAATACAAGCTCTTGAGCAAACAATGTGGATCACTGATTTGAATCTTTGATGCAATGCTGTCTTCTTCTTAGAGAGCAGCAATCACCTCGTGGATGAAAACGAACAGCCCCAAAAATTGTTTCTGTAGCAAAAAAGCCATTGCACTTCAATTAATTGTCCCAAACATCTTCATTTTGTTTCCAATAGCCCAGAATTTTTTCGTAAATATTATTAATTGATCTATTAGATTTTCAACGATCTATTAGTTGCTCAACGAGCTTTTTGCTAGTGCTGGTTGAAATAAACAAATCGATAGTTGGACCAACACTTAATAATTAATATTTTTTTCTACTTAATTATTTAGATCAATTTCCTATCACTTACCTGATTAATTCTTCTTTGCTCTAATTAAGAATGGCGGAGCTTTCTGAAAGAGATCGAATAACACTGTTAATGATGCGAGGATGGGGAGATCAACAAAGAGGGTATAAAACAGTAACGCAATTATTTAATGAAAATTTTCGGAATGAAAATAATAGGATCTCCAAAAGTACTATAATCCGTACTATTCAATGTTTCGAGGACATTGGTAGCGTTAAAAGCCGCCCAAGATCTGGTAGACGTAAAACAGCAACAAATAATGATAAGGCATTAGATGTTTTACAGTCTTTCGTTGAAAGTCCCCACATTTCCATCAATCGCGTTGCACAAGAACAGGAAATCAGTCATGCATCTGTCAGTAAAATTCTGAAATTGAATAAATGGCATCCATACAAATTCCATTTGGTCCAAGAGTTGTTCGAAGACGATTTTGATAGACGCATCGAATTTTATGATCTTATGATGGAGATGATTGTCGACGATCCTCTATTACTTAATAATATTGTTCTCTCTGATGAGGCAACATTTGAACTGACTGGAAATGTAAATAGACACAATTGTAGATACTGGAGTGACGTTAATCTTCACTGGAAAAGAAACAATCATACCCAATATCCACAAAAAGTTAACATATGGGCTGGTATTCTTAATGGTGGACCAGTTGGCCCTTTCTTCATTGAAGGGAATTTGACAGCACAAGTATATACAGTCATGCTTCGCGAACAAATTGTTCCAGATATTCGAGATAGCTGGTGGAAATATGAATGAAATTTATTTCTAACAGGATGGAGCTCCACCTCATTATAGTGTCATTGTCCGTCAATATTTGAATGAGGTCTTTCAGAACAGGTGGATAGGGCGAAGGGGTCATATTGAGTGGCCACCTCGGTCTCCGGACTTGACCCCACTTGACTTTTTTTTGTGGGGTTACTTGAAAAGTAAAATTTATGCCATCAAGCCTCAAGATTTAGATGATTTAAGAGGGAGAATAACTCGAGAGATAGAATTAATACCGCCGGAAACGTTCCGGAATGCGGTTTCAGCTGTTTATAACAGATTGGCACATTGCCAGGCTGTTGAAGGGCAACAATTTGAACATTTGTTGTGAATTGTTTGGTACAATTGAATATTTTGCCCAAGCTGACCAATTGGAATGAAATTCGCCTTAACTGATCGGAATCACATACCACTCTTGCCTTAACTGGCCGGAATCACACACCATTCTTGCCTTAACTGGTCGGAATCACACATCACTCTTGCCTTAACTGGTCGGGATCACACACCACTCTTGCCTTAACTGGTCGAAATCACACACCACTCTTGCCTTAACTGGCCGGAATCACACACCACTCTTGCCTTAACTGACCGGAATTACACACCATTCTTGCCTTAACTGGTCGGAATCACACACCACTCTTGCCTTAACTGGTCGGAATGACACACCACTCTTGCCTTAACTAGTCGGAATCACACACCACTTAACAAATTGTTAACTTCAAACCTTTATAACTCCAAAAGTTAATGGAAAAATGTTTTATTATAGTATTTTGGAAAGCTCTCGAGATAAGCTATAAGAATATGTAATAAAATGTTGGTTCCATTTAAAAGAAATAAGGTTGACCTTGAAATGACCTTGAAGGACATGGTCAAGGTCAAAGTCAATGTCATCATCTTATTTCCCGCTTAAAACCATACAACTTTGCTATTGAGCATTTTCTCCAAAATGCATTCTAACTGAAGATATTAGGGGGGTCCAATACTTTTCGATGACCTTGTATATATATATATATATAATTACAACATAATGAAAAGAATGACATAAAAAAAGTATAATTAGAGAATTATTGCAATAGATTTCCACATCACCTGTGAGGTACTATTACTGATGCGTTTTTTTTTTAAAGTGGTTTCCCCAGTAGGCCTATTCCACTAAAAAATGAAGAATTACGATAGAAAGTATGGCTCAGCAGGAAAACTAGATGAAAAGAAGTAAATGATCATTTGGAAACAAGTAAACTAGGATTTCCTGGGTCGTTTAGACTGTACTATGGATGATATATCCAAAGACATTTTAGAAGAACTAGCTCGCATCAAGGAAGAAAGGGAAGTATCATTTAAAGAAGAACGTTTATTAAAAAATGCGTTATTGCAGCGGTCGAATCATTTGGAGATTCGATGACTTTCGAAAAAGCTGCAAGCATTCCATTAAATCTGTAAAATCACGGATAGATGATACAGCTTCATCTTTACAAGAGAAATTAAAATGTTCATTTGCGTCTTATTCGTATTATTCATTATGTATTTATGAGAGTACCGATAATCGGCATATGGATCAACTGTATATTTTTGCTCGAATCGTACGTAAAACGATTTTTCACATGTCAAAGACCTCTCAGACTTTGTATCGTTGCAAGGGAGAACAACAGGTGTTGAAATCTTTAAGGCTGTTAGTCAAACTCTGCAAAAGTTTGACATTGATTTCTACAAATGTTCGGCTGTAGTCACCGATAGCGCAAACGCAATGATAGGTTTGAAAAAACGGCTTCTTTGAACAAATAAGACAGCAAGGTTTTAAAATCTCTGTTATTCATTGCATCATTCATCAAGAAGCGTTGTCTTATAAGCTTAACCCCTTGACTGTGAATGACGTAAATATGCGCATGAAAATTTTGCCTCTCCGGCGTACTCTCTGCTCTAAAATTTTGTTTCCCTACCGAGCCATACATTTTATCGTATTTGTTCTTTATTATTTAGTGGAGTAGGCCTACTGGGGAAAGCACTTTAAGGGGCTACCTAATGTGACCACATGAAAATGAGGGCGATTTTCGAGGATTAAAAAAAAACTATTCTGCCATATATTTTAAAAGTTTGAGGCTATATTAGGTAACATTTAAAGAAGTTATAAAAATTATATTACGAAAAAATATTGACATATATTGGAAATATTAGTAATTTCCCGGAGGTAAAAAAAAAATTAGCCCAACTGCTGCAGCGATAAGTGACGTCAGAGTGCCTGAAATAAAAAAAAGACAAAAAAGGCGTTAAACTAGATAAGTTTTCCTATATAGTGAACTAGGATTATGAAAAAATATTGAAAATTAATTACGGAAAAAAATTACGGTGTTGTAAAAAGAAGTTCGAATTTAGCAAAAAGAAGTGCCCGTTTTTTGCGTGGCAAATTGACATTTGTTGACGGATTGAAAATATCCTAGTTTACTGTATGACGAAACATGTACTGAGTATGCCTATCAAATTTGAAGTTGATTCATTAATTTGTTCGCGAGTTATGACTGCAGCAAATTTCGAAAACGTTGTTTCGAGAAAAACACGTTTAAAGTTTTAACTATTGATTTTTTTGTTATAAAAGAAAATTTATCATACTTACAGCTATTCAGCTATTCCAGGCCCATATAATTCGCCTTCCTCTTGTTCGAAAAATTGTTGCTGGGCCGCTCCAGCTGTCCTGCGAGCTGTCCGAGCCTCCTTTAAAGCCTCGTGGTGCCGTTTTTCTGCTACCATCATTCGTCTCATGTCTCGTTTTTTGCATAATCGACACACTCCAGTGTGTGTCGATTTCCCTGGAACTTTCTTTTCTTATTGGTACTTCTACGCGCTAGAGTATCGTGTGTGCCTTTTTGAACACTAGATTGACTTTTCCCACTCATTTTGAATGAAATTCGCGCTGCGATGTGCTCTGCACAGTGGCTAAAAGTGAACTAAACGGGCCGCTTACGTATACCTGCGTCGAGCGGCTTCGAAACATTTTGAGCTGCCAACAACGCTTTCGTACAAACATAAAGGGATTATTGTGAGTCCTTGGAACTACCAGGCTCTCTTTTCTATCTTTGAAGTATAAACGATTACGTCAAAGCCTAAGAACTACCGCAACTGCCCGGCGTCCTTCCTCGCCGGCGAGATCGAGTTTATGGCCCCCGACCAGCTGCGCTGTCGTTTCATATCTGCCGTTTCTAAAATATTTCAGATACGACCATAACATTTCAGGATATTATTCTACAGATGTTAAACTGTCAAAAATTGCAAAAAAAAAATTCGATTTTTTCAAACTGTCACACTAGGTAAATCCCTTAAAAAAATGCATCAGCAATAGTACCTCACAGGTGATGTGAAAATCTATTGCAATAATCCTTTAATTATATTTTTTTTATGTCATTCTTTTCATTATGTTGTAATTATATATAGGTGTGTTGATACAGGGTGTTTGATAGCTGATCATGCAGACGAAAGTTGGAGATAGATTGGATGTAGCCGAGAACAAAAGTCATGTACCATAATGTCAAATTGGCAATAGTTACCGAGTTATTAATTAAAACATGTGAGCCAACGAGAGCGAAGGGCGGCCGCAATAAGCACGTAGACATTTGATACAGGCGGAGTCAGCGAGTGGCGATAGGCAAGCGCGCGCGGCGAGGGGCAACGTAAGCGACAAGAGGCGATCGCGCGCGACGAGGAGCGAGCGAGCGCGAACGACGAGGAGCAAGCGAGCTATAAGGAAAAAGCTCGCTCGTTCCTCGTCGCGCGCGGTAGCCTCTTGTCGCTTACGTTGCCCCTCGCCGCGCGCACTTGCCAACTACCACTCATTGACTCCGCCTGTATCAAATGTCTACGTGCTTACTGCGGCCGCCCTTCGCTTTCTACGCGCTCGTTGGCTCACATGTTTTAATTAATAGCTCGGTAACTATTGGCAATTTGACATTATGGTACATGACTTTTCTTCTCGGCTACACTCAATCTATCTCCAACTTTCGTCTGCATGATCAGCTATCAAACACCCTGTATATGCGAGGTGAAGCGATTGTCATAATGTTCAGTGAGCGGCGACATGTTCGCGCTGTTTCCTTTCCGTATTTTTTCATATATATATTTTCTCACAGACTTTGGACAAACGTGTGTGTGCTGTGTTGTCAATTTTTCTTTCTACACATAGATCTTATATGAATGTGAATGCGACCGATATTTGCCTTCTCTCTTTTTCACACACTCTCTCTCTCTCTCTCTCTCTCTCTCTTTCTCTCTCTCTCTCTCTCTCTCACACTCTTTCTCTCTCATACTTTATCAAAGCCCTTTCGCATAGTCAAAATACATGCAAAGATGAAGCGAAACATTGCCATGCAAAAGGATTTGAAATTCAGTCCAGTCAGTGCGAAGTAATTTTTTAATTACACATTATAAAGTTTTTCTAGGCCGATATAAAATATTAATTTCATATTGAGCAATGCTCCGTTTCATATTCCCACACATGCACTTTACCTTTATAAAAGGATTCTCAATTCAGCGCGTTGAATGCGACGTAAACTTTGCAAGAAACAGCAGGTGTCTTATCATCATTTTTCCAAGATGTTTCTTATTATTCCTTTTTATTTTCGTATAAACATTTATTATGCAAAGCGGAAAGGTTTTCAATTTGGTACAGCCGGGGTGACGTAAACTTTGCAAGAAGGACTCGTTGTCCTAATCGCAATAGTTACTCATCGTTTTCTTCAGATGTTTTGCATTATTCCACTTTATTTTGGCAGGAATATTCACTGTACGAAAGTCTTTTTCATTCCGTGCAGCCAGTGCGACGTAAACTTTGCAAGAAAGTGTCGGTATTCTATTCGCAATAGTTCCTCATCGTATTTCTAACATGTTTTTTATTGCTCCATTTTATTTTGGCAGGAATATTTGCCGTACAAAAGCGTTTTCAATTCCGTACTGCTAGTGCGACGTAAACGTTGCAGAAGGAAGTCGGTGTCCTAATCGCAATAGTTTCCCATCGTTTGTTTCGGGTGACTTGAATTACTCCGCTTTATTTTGACAGGAATATTCACTGTACGAAAGTGTTTTCAATTCCGTACTTCCACTGCGACGTAAACGTTGCAGGAGGAACTCGGTGTCCTATTCACAATAGTTTCCCATCGCTTTTTTCGGATGATTCGTAATACTCCGCTTTATTTTAGCAAAAATATTCACTATACGAAAACGTTTTCCGTACTACTAGTGCAACGTAAACTTGACAAAAAGAAGTCGCTGAATACGATAAAATGAGAAGCCGATTTATGTGAAAACAAGCATACTGTTTCTGAAGAACCATTTTCGTGTAATAATATTCATTGCTCAAATTATTCTTTGTTATGTTATGCTGTATATATATCAGCGAGTCGAAAAATCCGAGAAGCAGCAGCAAAATGCACATTTCGGAGAGAAGGCAAATATGGGCAGCGTCACATTCACATTCATATAAGATCTGTGTGTAGAAAAGTCGAAATGACAATGCAGCACACATTTGTCCGAAGTCTGTGAGAAAAGATATACAAGGTGTTTGATAGCTGATCATGCAGACGAAAGTTGGAGATAGATTGGGTGTAGCCGAGAAGAAAAGTCATGTACCATAATGTCAAATTGCCAATAGTTATCGAGTTATTAATTAAAACATGTGAGCCAACGAGCGCGTAGAGAGTGGAGGGCGACCGCAGTAAGCACGTAGACATTTGATACAGGCGGAGTCAGTGAGTGGCGGTAGGAGAGCGCGCGCGCCGAGGGGCAATGTAAACGACAAGAGGCGGGTGCGCGCGACGAGGAGCGAGCGAGCGCAAGCGACAAAAAGCGAGCGAGCGCGACGAAGAGCGAACGAGCGCGAACGACGAGGAGCGAGCGATCGCCTCTTGTCGCTTACGTTGCCCCTCGCCGCGCGCGCTCTCCTATCGCCACTCACTGACTCCGCCTGTATCAAATGTCTACGTGCTTACTGCGGCCGCCCTCCGCTCTCTACGCGCTCGTTGGCTCACATGTTTTAATTAATAACTGGGTAACTATTGCCAATTTGACATTATGGTACATGACTTTTCTTCTCAGCTACACCCAATCTATCTCCAACTTTCGTCTGCATGATCAGCTATCAAACACCCTGTATATGGAAAAATGCGATGAAAGGATAGCGTAATCGTATCAGCGCTTATCCGGCAATTGTCTATACTATATAAATACTATGTATTAAATATATATACATATACTACTGTGATCAAAAAGTAAGGTGAATTTGTTTATGAAATGAAAAATCTTTATTTATTCTTCCAAATTAATTTCATCGCCTTCAAAGTACTCCCCGCCTGACACAATGCATTTATGCCAACGTTTTTTCCAATCCTCGAAACAGTCAGAGAAGTCTTTTTCCGAGATGGCTTTCAATACTTTCTTCGATTCGGCTTTTATCTCCTCAATCGAGTCGAAACGGTCCCCGGAGCGGTCTTTTGAGTTTGTTGAACAGCTGTAAGTCGTACGGTAATCAGGCGAAATCGGGCGAATACGGTGGTTGTGGAACGATATGGGTCGAATTTTTGGCGAAATGTTCTTGAAGAACCAATGCAGTGTGGGACGATGCATTATCGTGGTGCAAAAACCAAGAATTGTCTGCCCATAATTTTGGCCTCTTGAGGCGAATAGCTTCACGCAAACGACGCATAACAAATAATATTCCAACAGCAAATCTTTGATTTCCTTGACGTGGCTTTCATCGGTAGATGTTGATGGTCGTCCGGGGCGCTGTTCGTCTTGAACTCGTTCTCGACCTTCCTTGAAGTCTTTATATGACTTGTAAACATTTTTTTGCTACATAGCCTTATCACCAAAGGCCTTCTGCAACATCCTCAACGTTTCCGCGGCAGAATATTCATTCCACAAACTAAACTTAATGCAAATTCTTTGCTCAACAAAATCAGACATAGTAAAAATCGAAAAACTCACTTTTGTATGTTTACAAAAACACGTATAGCTCTGCAGCAATTGAATATATTGACATGAAACTCTGCATAGATGTCAAAGACAGTGCTACTAACCCACAAAAAAATAATTTCATGATTTTATAGTACCCGCGAAGTTTAAATGAAAAATTCACTTTATTTTTTGATCACAGTAGTATGTACCAAACTTCACTAACGTCGATAACAGATAATAACGTTCCCTACTTTTTGACGATCGCCTCTACGTTATCGACGCTTTGTAAATTCGTTGACGACTCCAGAGTCCAGCATCCTCTTAAGCGGCTAAGAAATTAAGTTTCAAATAATCAAATTTTCCTACTTTTTTACGGTTATGCAGTGTTGACATACAGCTATTAAAAATTACATTTATTACAGCAAATGGCTCAACATAACCTTATAAATTATTCAGTTCAGTGCTTTCAAAAATGGCAACGGATAAGGTGAAGGTCCATTCTTTACGAATTCCAACAAGGAAAAGATGCTGCAAGAGCATGCGAATCGATTTGTTCTTTTTTCGGTGAAGGCGTTGTATCATACGATATACAGGGTTATCGAAAATACCGGACCCCTAATACTTTCGATTAGAATGCATTTTGGAAAAAATATCCAATAACAAAGTTGTATGGTTTCAAGCGGAGAGTAGGGTAATGACCTTGACTTTGACCTTGATTATGTCCTTCAAGACCATTTAAAGATCAACTTCCAAATTTCAAATGAAAACTTCAATTTTTTATTACAGTATCTTTCTCTACCAATTAATTTAAACAACTTTTGTTTGAAACAGTTTTCTATTTGCCTAACATTTTTTGAGATGTTTAAAGAAAACTTGATAACTTTTTCAATATTTAATTCCCGATATTTCGCTAACTATTTGTCGGAAGAAAAAGTGGTACTAGACTTTTCTGCTCTATTTAATCTCAAGAATATATTGTTTCAATAGCGCCTTGACTTTTGTTAATTTGATGATTTTGAAATTTCCAAAAGTCAGTAAGTTAACAAAAGTCAAGGTGCTATTATAACAATATATTTTTGAGATTAAATAAAACAGAAAAATTTAGTACCACTTTTTCTTCCGACAAATAGCGAGATATCGTGAGTTAAATATTGAAAAAGTTATCAAGTTTTCCTTAAATATCTCAAAAAACATTAGGCAAATAAAAAAATGTTTCAGACAAAAGTTATTCAAATTAATTGGTAGAAAAGGACAGTGTAATAAAAAATTTGGGTTTCTATTTGAAATTTGGAAGTCGATCTTTAAATGACCTTGAAGGACATAATCAAAGTCAAGATCG